CTTTCAGAGAGGGTCCTAAAGCCAGCAGTGCATGTAAAACATCATTATTCTTAAAATGTGACAGATTCATAGGATTTGTGAGGTAGTGTGGTCTAGTGGGATGATTAGGGCTAAAAGCCAGGAAGCCTTGATCTATAATCCTGGCTCTAACAAAGATTTGTGTGGCCTGAAAGCCTTCATTTTTCCCTTTTTAAAAAAGCAATGCATTTTCCCACATACACTTTAAGGCTATTGCAAGGATCAATAAACACTTTTGTATATAAGGATCCTCACCTACTTGTGATTTTGTGCAGCACATTAATAATTTAAAGCCGTACAAGTCCTGCAATTGCTCTCTTGAACAGACAGGTCTGCACACCTCTGCCTACATTCCTAAAATCCATGTCTCAATTCAGTCCGATAAGGAGAGACTGCTTTTGATTATCTTTTCCAATATTTTGATTAAAAGCATGGAGAAAACACCTCCAGTTAGCCTCAGCAGAGGGGATGCTAGGAACAAAGCTCTATCTGGGATGCAGCATCATTTTAAAAGGCAAGCAAGACAGGACAGCACAGAATCTCATTAGCTAGGCTCCATACTTAACTTCCACCTTCTTAATTCTTTATACCCTCTAAAAAGCCTAGGATATAAAACACAAAATAAAGCCCGATGTTGTCTTAGAGAGGAGATAGGCAAACACCAGAATACTAAAAAATGAAACCTGGCTTTAAGCTAACCTTCCCACTGTGAAAAAGCAAACTCTGAATTTTGACTTCTTCTGAGGAGGAAAAAAAAAGCATTAATCTTAAGTTTTTTAATGCTCCACCATAGTTTCCAGAATGCTTCAGTGCTTCAGGAAACATTTTCCATATTCAGCAGACAGCTTTAAAAACGTTAAGAAAAAAATCAATTTTATTAAAAGCATACAATGGCAGCCTTTATAAAACACTACACTCTCAGTCCTGCACACTTGATGATTTTCAGCATTTTTTTTTAATAGGCATATCTACTATAAAACTACCCAGAGGAGAGAGTTTAACTAGTGAGAAGAGGCAGTTTTGCTTTTTTTCTAGTAGGGAAAAAAAAAAAAAAACAGAAGAATGAACCTTCAATTCATAAACAGCAACTTTATGAAATCTCTCTTTAGGTAATCAAGACATACTGCATCACAATACAAACCACAAGAAAAAGACTTGTTTGGCATCTATTGCCTCTTCTTCCTCTTCTGGAAAGAAGCACTTTTGCTGTAGGAAAGAAGAATAGCCTAGCAGCATTTAGAAGTCGTAATAAAAGATAAGTTTCCCCAATGACAGTACAGAGTTTGGCGCTGGTTTCTTGAAACAAAACTTTTTTTTTCCCCACTTACATTCTTGTCTCCTTCATTAACACAGATTTCATAGCAATAGGCCAGAAGGATATCAATTAAACCGAGATATACATGATGACGGGTTCTTTTATCCAGAAGATAAGATTTATTTTTGAATTTCCTCAGCTGTTCTCTCTCTTCTTCAGAGAATACAACTACAAAAGTAAAAGTAAATTGATTACAAATACAGAAGTGACACACTGATTTTAACAGGCTATATACTACTTCCACACTTTTTCAAAGCAGCATGCTAGTAAGCACAAACCACTCATCACTCAAGAAAAAGTGCAAATCATTCCCACTGTCACTATCAACTTTCATTAAACCTGGATACAGTCCTTTAAACATCAGGTTTCAGCCCTGCACAGTGCAGCATGCACCCACTGGCACTTCAGAGCCCCTCTGAAGTAGAATCTTTGTGGATGCCTGGGTATCTGTACTGATACAGATGTAAAATCAAGACATAGGTACATGAAAGTTTAACAGCTGTGTCCTATGAGACAAGAATAAGGATCAGGCTAACAAACCAATAGATTTTCCTATTGTAGAAAGGGATGAATAGAAAAGGACCATAGGGTTCTGTCTTCTTAAGTCTCATCACTCTCTACTGATAACCATGATTTAGAAGCTATATTTATACTTTCTGACAGCATCCTTCAATTGGATGAAAAGGATCAGAGGTCAAAATCCTGTTCATACTATAAAACATACAATTCCTTCCAAAGATGATGGTGGTTCACCCTCAGTGACCAAAGGGTTTTGCTGATCTTCAGTGCACCTCATATACTTAAAAACGGCAACATGAGCCAAACCCTGAGGAAACATGTAGTCCAGTACCTTCTCTGGTACTCTGGATTGGAGGAGGACAACACAGCAGGCCCGCTGTAATAACAAAAAATACTTCCCTAGCAGACTGTGATATAGGCATAGACCAGCAAGATGAAATATTAAAAAGGTAACCTGTCTGAGAATTCAAACGCAAAATGCAGACAAGATGGCAGAATTGCCTTGAAATAATAGCAGAGATTAAGCAGACAATTGGCTAGAAGCTATCCCCACACAAACTGAGAATAAATCAACAAGCCATTTAGTAAAATCAAAACTGCGAGAAGCCTGAGCTAGGCTTTTCATCCAGACTGTGCAGGCATTCCATGTCAACAGAAATTGTTTTGATCTCTTCTCTTGAATCAGATAGACACAGTGAACACACCTTAACCACCCTGAAAACACACCTCTACAAGGGAGCAGGACAGGGGAAAGCACTAGTACTAGCTCCACAGCTGATGCCTTCTTGGATTGCTTAAGTACCCCCTACTATTCATTCAAGCAAAAATAACACAGTAATTATCAGCCCCACTTTAAAATACCACCTCATTCAAAGAGATTTCTGAGACTGGAACAAGTGCAATGCAGCACATTCAAAACAAGTCCTAAGTCTAAGGGAAAGCATACAACATGACCCTTAACTCACTGAATGTATTTATTATCAATTAGCCTATTACCTCCCCTCTTTTGGGTCACTATTTTCTGATTTTCAGCTAGGGATTGAGAGAATCTGCAAGTAGGAAATACACAGTCTGAAAATGCAAAATTTATTGGTTTTCCCTCCTGACAAAGCATTAGAGAGTCCTTACTGGTCAGGTAGATAGCACTCGAGGGGAACGTCAGTTTTTGAAGCTCTCAGACCAATCCATGAATACTGCTGAGCTGCCATCTTCCAGCAGCTTCACAACACTCACCACTTAACCAATTCCAGACAAGATCCAACTTGATTCCCTATTCTTCCCTTTTAGGGCTTTACACTTTCCGCCTTTCATACCCTTGAGCTACTAATGATCCTAATACATTTAACTGTCTAAAAACAACAATAAAAACACTACTATTTTACCGTTCTTATCTTTCTATGGACCTTCGCACATTCTCTGAGCAGCGCGAGCCAAGGCTGCGCAGCTGGGCCACATCAAAGCTGGGGATCCTTGGTAGGCAGGCAGCTAAATCCCCCAGGCTGCTCACAGCCCGGCTCACAGAGAGGACAGATTACAATCCACAGCAAACCAAATTCCTTCTACACCATTTCTTTATTGTAATAACGATGGCTACAAATGTTCTTAAAGATGTTTCTTCTCTCTCAAAGATGTTTCTTCTTTCTGCTCACCACTTTACACAATCCATATTCTCATGGGTGAGACTGCTCAGGGACACGTGGTCAGCTTTACCCCAGAAGCTTACTACAAACTTTTTGATTTTATGACATATTTTGAAACAAATGTTCTTGACACCAATGGCATGTAAGTAGGCGCACACCTCATCAAGAACTACAATTACGAAAAGAAACAAATTTTGAATATTTCTTCTTTATGAACTTTCTTAATGTTGCTATGAGCTGCATAACCATGAAATGTTTGATTTAAATTCCTCTGGAAACTTCTTTATGAACTAAACATTTCTCTGGAGTCAAGTCAGTCTCCACTTATTCACAAGCTCCCACACAAAGGAATTCCAGCTTTTATGTCATCTTGAGAAAGCCAATATCTTCCAATTGTTATCTAGTATACGACAATTGTATTAGAGTAAAATTTTCAGCAAAAATGACAATTTAGCAAAATTATGGAAATTCTACTTTGTTTTTCCATTAATACAATGTATTCCTTAACTCAAATACAGATGTACCTCTATTCCACCAGCAAATTTCTTGTTAAGTTCTTAATTTATATTATTTCTTCAGTGAGACACTAACTTTCAAAAAAGATTTGCTGACAAATACAAGTTGGATCACTTATTTACACATTCTTTCGGAACGTGCATTTTGTGAGTTATATTCCCCCTCTTTTAAACAGAAATCAAAGACACTCCTAGTGAACTTGGTAAAAAGAGGCAACTATGCTTCAGAAGATTTGCATTTTTAAGGAAGAAAAGACTGTATTGTATAAAACTGGACCACATTCACCAAAAACACAGGCCTGCTAGACAACAGCAAACAAGATGTAGACTAGACAATCCTTAAAGGTAAGTGTTCCAAGATGTTCATTAACTTACTGAAAAGTGCCAGGTGTTCTTAATAAATTTCTCTGGAGAAAATACTTCTAGTTTACAAATAAAGATCTACCCATTCCTTAAGGATTTTGAATAATAAAGCATCCAGGTCTGAAACGAATTATTAACATATCAAAACCACCACTTATTTCTTTCTTTCCTCTCCCCCTGAATTTAAACATACAACAGCAGAGTATAAGATTAACATATTTATAAAATCATAGTTATATTTTCTGCTTCCTTAAACCCATATTTTGTACACTGATTACCAATATTTTACCTAACAATACCTGCATACTAATCAAAACCACATTCCTACAAAGCAGCATCTGCTATTATTTATCAAATCCTAAATGTGTAAGCTTTACTGAAGTTCCACATTGAAATGTTTTGTACATTTTTCAGTGCCAAAATCATGCCTCTTGTTGCCACAATATAACTGCATAAGTTATATGCAAACACATGCCAGTCTAAAGCATTCAAATTGATCCTATAGACAAAATTTGCAATTAAGAAAAATCTACAAGTGACCTTTACTTTTCATCATGTTCTTTACTTAAAATACCCTTTTCTCCTGTACGAATAAGCATATTTCAAATTGCTACTCAGTAACAACTGTCAGTCAGTAAAGACCAGTTTCATCTCTCTAAAAGGAAAGACAAGGTCCAACAGTTATAAGGTGATTTATTATGGTGTTAATAAAATCTTAGACAGCTGAACTCATCATTTAGATGCTATGTAGGGTTCAGGCTGTTCAATAATAAAGTCTGTGTAATATATCTTTTTTGGGACTACTGTGACACTTAAAAACAGTTATAAATGTATTGAGGTCCTTAGATGAAATGTGCCATCAAGACAGAAAGCAATTTCAGGGCTCTGCCTTGTAGAATCTCCTAGATCAGAAAGGACCCCTGGAGATCAGGTGTCGCAGCCTCCTGATGAAAGCAGACCCTCAGGTTACAACCTTATCAAGCACAGTCTTGTAGGTCTATGACTACTTTGAAGGAAGCTTTAAGGAAATCAGAGGAATCTACTACTTTTAAAGGAGAACCACAATATTATGCAACCAAATTCAGGTTTTAAATGTGTACTTCTCTCTCTGTAAGCTAGCAAATCAGCAACATCAGAGAAAGGGGAGGTTATCTTATAAAAAGTATATTACCTAGGAATAAGGTTAGTAACATTTTTATCAATCTCTATTCCTTTCAAGCTTTCCCCAAGACATGAGAAGACAACATGCATGCCTGCTGACTAAAAAAATGCCCAGAGGTTTTGTTCAGGATCAGTGTTTCCTCTAGGGGTTGGAAGTAGTATTTTCAAGTACTTTAAAAGCAATTACAAACTTAGAGTGAGAAACAGAACTAATTAAGCGAATTTTCCATTGATTTCTCTTGTGATTGACTTTTTTGCTATCTGCTAAGTCATAAAAGGCTGTTGAATCTTTTCACAGTGCTGATGTATTGATAATTTCTCTTTCCTACATGGGTTCCGCAGTGCCTACTAAGAGTGCCACTGACTCTGAAGATTAAATTAAGGGACTCTGTTCTTTTCATGTGGAATCGCTGAGGGAACTTGTAGGACTGAACAACTTTGAAATCCCCAAAATTGTCAAGAAAAATGTGATCAGACAAGCCTCAATTTTGAGCAAATAAACCCCAAATTCCTAAAAATATTGAGCTGTATCCCTCTGCACACCTATACTCACTCTGAACTGTGATCAGTCATCTATTTTATTCATCCCTCCACTTATGGAGGGCTTCTCTACAATTGCTCCATTCAAATTTTAGCTTTAATCAAAAATGGTCTTCAATATCAAGATTCTACCCTTCCCTAGTTCTCACATCAACAGCACATTCCCTTTATATTACTTTTGCTCTTTGCCTGCAGTCATTCTCCCTAAAGTCACTGTACTCGAACTGTTTCCTAGATCCCACAACTTCCTTTAACTTCCTAATTTATCATGATTCTTAAACAGTTTTGCAGTTCCCATACACCAAGACATTAATCATTCTTTCTTCTCTCTTACTGCTGTCACCTTCTAAAGGCAATGATACTTTACAACAGGGGCTTTTATATTTAAAGAATTTTGCATGAATAAGTAGTAAATCTTCAGTGCCACTGACGTTCACATACTGTGAAAGTCAGGAAGACTGAGTAAAACAGATACAGAGAACAACTGATAAAGTGATTAATCTTAAACTTGCAAAATTAGCAGCCATGGTATATATTTCAGCATTCTGAGTCCCATTAGAAGGTGAATCTTTAAAAAAATCCTTATTCTAAAAAGAGATCAGAGAGACTATAAACAAAATAAATTATCCCTAGCTCATATTAATGTTACATTAAATACATATGTCAGCCTAAACCTTTGAAGATTATTGTATTGCCTAAAATGGAGTTTTTACTGTTATGCAGTTTGAAATAGAATAAAAATATTCTTCTAAGTTGAATGTGGCCATTACAAAATAAAAAATCTGTCACCTGGAATCTCTAGAAGCAAAACTAATTTAAACTTCAGCTGCAGACAAGAATCTTTTTCAAGAGCTTTATTCCCTTGTGGGAAAAGCTGTGTAATTAGTTAAGCTGTACAGAGTATTATTTGACTCACATTAGACATTGTAAAAGAGAACAAGATCTGGTCCTGCCAGTTTTAGAAGTGGCCACTTCTATCATGTTTGTAGCAATATATAGTTTCAGAAAAGCCTGCTCTGTAGTATTTCTTCTGGTACTTCACGCATACTGCATCAGAGAATTATCTTAGTTTCCTGATGGTCAAAAAGTTGGTGAGGGGAAGGGGGAGAACAAATGACACAATACAAAGATTGCAATATCTAGTAAAAGAAAAACTTAGTGTAGTAAGAGAGAAAATAAAAGACAAAAAAACCACCTACAAAAGCTGGAGAAAAAGAGAGAAGGTTAAATAAAAATAAAAGTTTCAAGGTAAGAACAGAAGAGAACTGAAGATATTAAATGCTATTGAGAATAGCCACTCCAAAAACACAAGAAAAAAAGAGTCTGGTAATGAGACATTTAAAAAAAAATAATGAGCTGAAGTGAGGAAAAAAAAAAAAAATCACCAAGCATGAAAATAAGAGCAGTAGTCTTCAAAGTCTTCAATTAATTTTAAACATTATGAAAAAAAAAAAAAGCCATCTGTATTTCTGATTATTCCTTGTAGTTAAAGACATTAAAAAAGTAAAGCAATCAAGTATTTGGCACTAAGAAAACAATTAAGATGAAAAACAGACATCACTAAATCCGCACAAGGAAGAACCAAGTATTTTTAAATAAAAAATTGTTCATTATCACGTTATTTTTAATGTCGCTTTTCCCCTACATCTTCTTCAAATAGTAAGTTTTGAGACATTGGTTCCTATCATGACATTAGGGATTTCACAGACACACCTTAGACATGAACAATCATAACAGCAGCAAGAGCAAAGCACAAATTACAGAAACACCTGACAGCAAATTCTGGTGTTAGTGCCCCAGTCCCACAGCACGCTGTACTGTTACCTCCTTTCAATTTTAATATCCCTCCTACTTTGACATTACTTCTTATTCAACAGTCCTATCTGCAATTAACTTTCCCTCAAAATATACACCATTCCATGTTCGAGAAGCAGCTTCTCCAGATAAAAATGCACTACCTCTTGTAGCAAGATTTCCATCCCATCTCTGCATTTCCACGTACTTGGGTAGAGGCTTGAGACTGCATGTGTTTGATCAAGAACCCAACATTTCTTCGTGGGAGACAGAAGTATTTGTGCAAGCTCCCTAGGGTAGGGAGCCTATCACGACTCGTACCTCATCAAGTGCTACTTTGGACACTTCAGTGGAAATGGTATATAGGCACAGAAGTGAAATGAAGACTGTTTATATACCCATAGGCCTTTTCTACTTAAGTGGACAACAAAATATGAGCTACTGAAGATAAGAAATCCTTCGTTTATAACTCAAGCTAGCTGATGAACAGAAGAGGAAAAAAACAATACAAAACACAAGGAATTTGTCCAACTGATCATCAGATTCCAGATCCAGCAGCCCACACCTACCTCCTGCCCTCTTCTATTTTCACTCTTACGAAAGTAGAGCCTGTACTCCCTCTCATGGTGGTTTCTTTCACCACAACTAACTCAGGTTTAGCAATCTCCAGTTGTTTCAGACCTTCATTAAATTTTCTGTCATCATTAGTTGCTGTTTCCTTTCAAAGAGTAACTACATCATCAAAAGAAAGGGAAAGGTAAATAAAAGCAAAAGCTAAAAAAGGGGAAAAAAAAATAGGAAAAAAAAGGAAAGGGGGGACAAGGCTCACTGTCATTACATAACCCGAACACCAGATGGTACCTTATTTGATGCAGCCACATGAAGATATTACATTCCTCAACACAGGTATATATCAACATTTTCTTGACTGAGAAGTGAAAGGATAATAAAAGAACCCCCTCATTATTCAGTTTCAAAACCTCTTGTGCCTTTGTCCAGTGCTTTTTACATCATATGCTTGTGACGGACACAATCAACAATTTCTGGCTTCAAAGGTTGAAGAGAGATCAGATTACACCGACAATAAAATATACAGCATTTACTACCCTAATTCTATTGTTCTACCTGCTGTATCAAACATGAAAGTGCAGGTATTATTAATGTACTAATACCTGTTGAATAACCTCTGCTGAAAGAATTACTATTATCTACTTGAGTAACACTGGATTTTCATACTACATAGAAAATGAACAAAAGACCATAAAAGACTATGCATAATAGCTTGTAAAAGTGATTGCCACAAGTACTACAAAAATTTCATTCATCTGTTAACAATACTGCTAACAGCTCACTTGGTAATCTCAAAACCAGCCTTTTTACTTTCTAAAAAGACAAATGAAGATTTCTCCTTAGAAAAAAATGGTTTCTAGAATCTATAAAAACAGCCAGAGAATAGCAAATACCATGAACATCTGTGGAATTGTATAAGTACCATAGAACATCCTACAAAAGACAAAAGCATCACACAGAAACATGGGCTGATATCAGGTCACTCCTACCCAAGTGATTCTTTGGAGACTTGCTGCAACAGTCTCCACCATACTTGTAAGTAAACAAAAGGTTTGTTTGCTTTTTTGTTAAACACAACTTTTCCTTTGAAAATACAGCCAGGAGACGGAGAACAATAACTTGCAAGTCTGGAAAGAGATAAGCACCACAACACACAAAGAAAAGATACTTTCTAGCTATTAAAACAGCTACACAAGAGAGTTTTGATTTGATCTCAAGTGCTGTGGCTTACTACCAAGCTCCTACAAAATGCTAAAAATTAAAGCATATCCTTTAAAGGAAAATTTCTCTGCATATATAACTGAAATTCTAGTTGGCCTTTAAGAAGGGTTGTTAGGAAGAAAAAATATATCACATTCAAGTCTATATAAACTAACTGATAAAGAGGTTGTTTAACCTTGGGCATTTATCATAAATTATGACTTCAGCCAACACCACTCAGATTTCAGTATGTAACTCACCTCTGGAGAGAAAGAAAGGCATGATGCAAAATACTTCTCTATGAAGAATAGTAGTTTTAAGATTGAAAATTGTAAACTAAAAACATACATTTAAGAACAATAACCTAGTACATATTACTGAACCACAACAAGTAATTGACAGATACATTCTTACCAAAAGTTTGCCCGTCACATTCCTGATGCTGCAAGGCAGTCTTTTTTTTATGGGCATCAATCCACCATGGTTTGTATTTCAAAACATGCTCAATAGCTTCATCTTCAAAAAAATCAGCTCTGGAAAAAAAAAAAGTTGTGTGCTGTTTATTTCAGTTTATAGCACATGTGGATATATTTTCATGCACAGAAGGAATAGAACTAATTAGGCTACAGGCTATTTAGATATGCAGTTCCGAAGAACAAGAACAAACCTGACCAAAATATGCTTTTTTGAGTTAAAAATCAGAAAATATTCATTATTAAAGCACAAACAACAATATTCTTTTATCTTGCAGTACCCCTCCCATACTTTCTCAACCTTTCCAAGGAAGCACAGAAAGTTGATGAGTTTGTAGAATGACATGTAGGTGAATATATCTTAGATCTATTTAAAGGAAAAGCATTTCACAACAAGAGGACTTTTCAAAGAAGCAAGTGACTTCATTGGGAAGTTCTCCTATTTTCAAAAGAAGCATACTTTGGAGGGGAGATGAATGCAGCTAGAGAATCTGAATTCTGAAAGCAGGGCTGGGAATTGACTTTCGTGTAAACAAAGATACACACTAACAAGGTGGAAAAAGAAGAGCTATACGTAGCTTCCATAAAAGATACACCACCATCTCAGTACAAAGTCACTCAAAGTAATTCTGGAGCATTTATATTAAAGTATTCAAGTTCTAAGCCTCCTATTATCTTTGTGTTTTCTTTCAAGCCAAGCAGTACAATTAAAAATAAGAACTGTAAAAATAGAAGAAATATTAATAACTTCTTAATCATTATACACAACCTACCCAGTTCACTGAATGTGAATTGTAATGTGTACTCTCACATTAATAAATTCTTCAATGCCTTCAGAGTGTTTCTTAAAAGTAACTTAAAAAGCTTAGCCAGTCTGCATTTTCCTTAAAACCAGCAGACTATTTCTGCTCTCCACTATACCTCCAAAACTACCCTTTGCATCAGATTGCACAGAAAAACAATATTTTTAGCTGAAGATCTTAAAACCATCATTAAGTGGAAAACCAAACAAAAACAGCTAGCATAATTTCACTTAATCAGGTAAAATTAAAAATAAAACAAACAACAGTACTTACAGATAATGATCAGGATCAAACTTGGCTGCCTCTGCTGCCAGGCGTTTCCTCCTACGCTCACTTACAGGCACTCGATCTGGATCCTTAATGTCAATTACATCAGTGAGTTCATCCTGCAAATGCAACAAAAGTTAAATGACCAAGCCAAAGATACAATGCAGAAGAATATAGTATCTGTTTGTAAGGGAGGTCTATTGGCATTAGAGTGAAGTGCTAAGGCACTTTTCAATCTCCCTTTACTATGTGCCACATTGCCTTCACTTTTAAGACAAGTGCAAAAAACAGTGATAATAATGGTCAACACTTAAAATATATGAGTTCTACCCAGAATTGCGCATCTTGATACACATTATTGAAAATAGACTGCCTTAAAACATTTGTTTACTTTTCAGTCCAGACTCAGTTGTGCAAAGAAGATATCCAGATTCCACAGTGTTTCAATTATTATGAATTCTAAGAATTGTCAATGTTATGAATTCTACTCACACCTTTATCATAAGGCGAGCAGGCTCTTTTGTATTATGCTGAAATTTGTAATGCTTAACAAAAGCACACAAGCAGACATATGCAAGTTAAAAATCACAGATTGTGTAACTCTTGAGACTATCTATAATTAATGGACAATTTCAATACCCTTTTAGACATCATTAACTAGAGGTACATTAATGCTGATGGAAAATACACTTCTTCAGGACTTTCATGGTAATAAATCCATAAATATACTTGGATAACATAAACACTTCCTCCATAAGTAGTGATCCTTTTGCTCCAAAACTTTAAGATACTACAATTCATGCAATAATAAGTTAGAGCTAAATGATTAATGTTTTAAGTAGCTACTGCTTCTATTGCCTGGTATGAGGACTTAAGCAGAACATTAAAAAAAAACAAATTACCATCTAGTATCTTAATAAAAGCTCTATATTCTACCAATATTATGATGTGGCTGAGCATGCTACAGGTTGTAAATTAACTACAGCCTATTTATGAATTAGAGAAACTTTTGAATGCAGAAGTTGACTATAGTTTAAAGCTCTTTTCCTACAAACTAATATGCAAAAGGAAATTTCAGTGCCTCAGCATAGCCCTAGTAAATTCATCATAAATCAGGCACAGAGAGCTCGAAGAATTCCACCTCAGTCAGTAAACTTGATTTGGATATCATATTACCATTTCTTTTACTCAACAACAAATAATTCAGCACTGTCCTCTATATGCAGTACTTCACAGCAGTCTAACCCTATAAATAGCTTTAGTTTCTAGTAATTCAGTTATGGCAAAGGCATAATATAAACACATGGGCAGGTAATAGTGAATTAACCTGACTGCTACTCTTTAACAGACTGCACTATTATGTTCAGAAAGTTTGTCATAAAATATTTTTCAAAATTATTTTCTACATTATGAAAATAAATTCAGGTTGCTGTATTTTTGAAATCAAGCAAAATATTTGCATTAGTGAGAAAAAAATCAGACTATCAGCAAATAATCTACGCTAATTTTACTCTCAGTCTCTGATAAGTTAGCTATTCTCTCTTCTAAACTACTGCAGAATATCTCTCAAGTCACTTCAAAACAGGTGTTCCATATCCCAGACAACACAGACTGGTCAAGAAAATAAGTCTGCATTCCCAGACAGCTATCAACCTCTTCCTGAAATGGGGCAAGTTTATCACAGAATAACATTGATCAAAGAGCTCAAGCAAAGTTCTCTGAAGAGTTCAGGTTCTGATAAGCAGAAAATTTTAAAAGAACAGGGTGGCCAAAGATAATCTTGATTTAAATACATACTTAAGCCCCTAACAGATTATAAACCTAGTTTTAGAGGCAATACAGAACTCAATTATGTTCAGGCTCTATAGACAATTATTTACATTTCATGAACATTTTCATACAGAATCTAAGGCTAAAGTTATGAAGTACTATTCCCGGAGAAAGGAGAAGACAAAAACAGGACTTAATTGCTGAGGGTCTTTAAGGATGATAAAACAGAGCCTGTTTTCAAATACCTTAGTCTTATCTTCTGTTTACTGGTGAAATGATAATTTTAGCTGCTAACAAACTTATTTCACATCTGAAATCAGCTTTACCAAGGGAGAAGGAGCCAAGCGTACTTAAGATCCCCAAACATACAAGGTGGAACAGGAAGACTGCACTTCAGAAATGACAACCTTTGCTTATTCAGAAGGCAAAATTTAAGAATACAAAAGAACAGTAACTATAAATTTCACAATTAAATATATTTTAATGCAACAATCATAAGAAAACCCATAGATTAGTCAGTTTTATTTTTTCCTTTAGATTTGAACTATCCCTTTTATTTTTAAATATGCTTAAAAATTCATTACATCTAAGATATACCTGATGTTGATACTGAATACACTTGAAGTCAGAAGAGAACACAATATCAAATAAAAGCAAGAGTGTTAATTGCATAGCCTAAAGACTGCTTGCAAGTTGCCAGAACTAGTCACATGGCACAGTGACTACTTAATACAGGCCTTTTCCACCTCGTGCCTTTAAAGGCTAGAAGATCTGTGCTGCCAGTAGCAGCCACTTCCAAATGTTGTGTCCCCTCCCTTTTCCGCTTTTTATTTTGGGCAAGGGACCCTTCAGCGCTTTCCTCTACAACCAATCATACTGCAGAAACAGGTCAGGCTGTTGCCTCAGCTACCACAGTCAACTCACTCTTGACCACATCTATTTTCTGCAGGAGCCAGGATTTGTCTTTGCCATTATATGAAGAGCAAAATATACTCAGTCAAGACTGAGATAATGAGGAAGAGATGTGATCAAGTCATCTTTAACTATGAAATAAGCCAGGAAGCCTAACCAACCAGAAAGGCTACAAATCTCAAAAGTTATGTGCAGCTTTTAAGAGGAAGAAGAATTTCCCACCTGCAGGCGCTGCAGCACCGCTGAGTGCAAATTCCCAAATCCATAGCAATACTTTTGTTGCAGAGTGCTTTCTGCAGTTTCTTCATAAGGAGTCTGCTCAATTTCCCAGTCAAAGTCATCATCATCTTCCTCCTCAGACAAATGAGCCGAGGCAGCTGTATACATTGCATGGTCAGAGAAAGGAAATCATCATAAGCTTATACAACCCAAAACATATGATTTGATAACAACACACTGACAGTATAGTAAGCCTTTTATTTACTACATATCTTAAAACATCTTAAATGACAGTGTCAACTGTAATTTCCAGAAAAACAGAAGAACAGAAAAGAGAGGTACCAAATGCACATAAACACGTATCTCCAAATCTCCCTTATCCAGCTGACGTTAGTGAGAATTTCCCAACCTATTAAACTGAGTAGTTTGAACAAAAATGAGGTATAACAGACCTGATTCATACCTAACACAGACAACAGCTTTAGGTTTTTTGGTGCAACATACATATTGCCTAGTATTGATGTATGCTAGATACTGCTGTGTCTCTGCTGTGTCCATCTCCAAATGGCATTTTTCTCAAAAAAAAAAAAAAAAAAAAAAAAAACACCCTCTCATCATTGGCAGTGTGCAAAAGTAATGCTTTCTCTCACGCAAGCCCCATGTTTTCCACTTCTGTTGTAACAGGAAAGGATAGTATATGGTTGTATCACATTTTACACTAAAACACTGAATCAGACTCTTAAAGCAAAAAAATACTCTTAGAATAAAAGTAGCTTCCAAAATAATAATAAAAAAGAAATAGAGGAAAGAAAAGAAAAAACATTCACTGATTAACAACATGTTTCATACAGACAGAAGCTTGTCAGTAACACATAGGTCCTTTTCCTAATTCTCCAATTTCTCAAAATAGAGACCAGGAAAACTTATACTCTCTTACTCAAGGACTGAAATAGTGATTCCACTGATTTCTCCATGAACAGAAATTTATTCTAAGATAACCCTGACAAGATCTAAGTAATATTATCAATCTTTTTAAACAGATATTCACATAACTAATCATATAATCAAACTTTTTTATCTATGAAAAGATGACACTAAGCTGGTCATCCTCTGGAATCTACACTTTGTTTCATTTTTAAATTTCTACTATTTGAGCTGAAAAACTAGTTATACTGACTTATAGGAAGTAAAACATTCAAATGTGTGTTTATTATACAGCCACTAGAGGGGCTACAGACCTACAGAGGTTTAGCATGTGTTAAACATGTTTTGGTAAAACATTCATGTAATTAAGTTATGAATATGAAAAGCGCATCAAGCTCTCTGATATTTAACCACACATCCAGGTTTATTCACTTGCCTTGTACATATAATACTTGCCTTCCTACATATAACACTAGGTAAATCTATTTGTATATCACTATACAAATCTATTGGTACAACTATTTTACTATGCATATGTATCACTAATATAAAAAAGATTTTGTTGTACCTATCTCTTCCACTAAAGGTGTTGCTGATTTTAACTTCTTTGGTGTCAAAAGAGACGTCAGCATATCCAGTCCCTCAAAATATTGGCCAGGAATCTCCTTGGGTAACTGAATTGTAAAAGTTCCTTAAAGAAAAGTCAAAATATAGTTATTAATCTTTATTAAATTATCAATGAAAATTTTAAAAGGACATTTTTTATTCTTACGAAAAAGGCTCACAGAAATTGTGCTACAAGCAGACAGTATTCTATTATGCACCACTGTGCATGTTTCTATACTCCCTTAACCAAATTCACAAAAATCAAAGATTTTAACAATACAAAATGAAAAAAGAATATTTGACTGATTATGGTCTCAACTTACATTGCATAACATAAGCCAACAGAAAAGAAGCCTTATTTATCTTGAATCCTTCCCCGACAAGGTAATCAAAATAAGACCACAGGAAGCTACAATATACATGCTGATTCATGCTATAAGTATACAAAGGCAACAAACCATAGGTTTTACTGCAGTATTTATTTCCTTTCTGAATAAATGTATTACAGAACATATTTTTCATTCCAGAAATGTCTTCCACCTTACGGTGTGGGAAAATGTTCGAGTCCTCCCTCTTAAGACTTAGTCAGGAGACTGCCTCAGGATTACTTAATTTCTACTCAGCACTACTTGACTTCTTTATGGATTTACCAGACCAATGATCTTGGTGAAATGACATACTTAACCCCTCCAGGCCTACAGGGACCTTGTACATGAACTTATTTATTAGAACAGTTATGAATATGTCTCTTGAAATAAGTATAACGCATCCTGAACAAGATTTATCACAAAACAGAAAAAACTTTAGTAAAGTATAAAATAGGGAATATATGTTAAAAGTTCTGTGAAATTAACCATGTTACTAAAAAGTTAATACTGTATTTTCAGTGATGTATACACTAGTAATATTAGCTGGTACCTTCATCTGTATTATAAGATGCTTTTTCTCTACCATCTTCCACAACCCTTCCAGGTAAAGTCAATCTGCAGAGGGGGGAGAAAAAAAAAAGATGTCTGGCTGAATGCCTGATGAATTCTGCAACAGCGATTCTGCAACCTCCTCCAGCCACTTTTCTTCCCCTAAGTTGAGATGTGCACCAAAACACATGCACCACCAAGTATATGCTATCTGGCTCTCAGTGGTGAAAAGACACTTATTCTATACAAATTAAATAAAGAATTGTTTTGCCATTTTACATCTGGAAATCTAAAGTAAATTTAGAAAAGCATTTAAATTAATTCCTTTTAAGTGATTTGAAACCTTGGAACAAAGGGACCAGATCCATAAGAAAGGCCAAATCACTATAGGCACTACAGATGGGGCGTGCTTTGAGGGCCCCAAAAGCAAAGCTCACTGTCTACATATTTGTTTTTGTTTTTTGGTTTTTTTTTTTTTTTAATCTTTTAAAGTCCGAAGCTTTGTACATCCTTCTACTACTTGCCTGAGAAAGTAAGGTTTAGCATAAAATTTAAAATCTTCCCCTTCAAAATATACATCAAACTCCGAAGCTCTGGCATAAGGTATTTTGATAATTATTTTAAGAAAATCTGGATCCTGGCTCAGTTCAAAGGCTGGAGTTATCATGATGAATCACGCAGGAGAAGTAACCACTGACTGCACAGCCCTATCAAAGCAGAAAAAAAAAAGATTATTACAGTTTCCAATTTATGGCAGTATTAGCATCTTCATAATTCTGTAAGAAGAATGTTTCTGATTTTCACAGAATTATCTTCTAAACACTTAAGGATAAGAAATTCATGACAGCAGCAACAAAAGAAAAGAAAAAAAAGAAAACTGCTCTCAGCAAGAATAGTGAGGTACTCTCTCTCGGTAACTTAATTATTTCTTCATAATGAAAAAAGATAAGGTAAATGAATGCAAACATTTGGAGTACTGAAAAGTAACTACTACATTCATCATACCAAGCACATTAAATTCAGTCTTAAAACCCTTGTGTTTTTTTTTTTTAAACCTGTTGTTTTTAATTTCCCAGACAGCTCTCCAAACTGTTTTGTTACTGAAATGATGATAAGCCACTATTGGTAGGCACTGAGGGAAAAATATTTTCACAAAATCTCACTTTATAAAACTTCCACAAAGTCATACTTTATAAACACACTTCCCAGAACAGAAATAATAGAATCAGTACCCACCAAAAGGATGGCATGAGCATATACAATACACTACTATTCTTCGTGTCTGTTTTAATATGTAAATCTCTGGGTTAGTTACATGCATAATAAGTTGGAAGTGTCTCTTAGAACTGGAATCATGGCACAAGAGTTGTCTTAACAGTTCACACAAAAGCAGTTTATACACTCAGATGTTCCAGTGTGCATGTACTTACGGTTTTGATGTAGTGCTTTCAAAAGTCTTGAATCTCACCTTAGAAACCCCACAGTTCTCCTGACAATTCGGAGAGGCAAATTCATTCAAAGAAAATGTAAACAATATAGTAGCTGTAATTGCAGTAAAGACTATGTAATTTTCTTCACTTGAGTGTTTTTAAGGAGAGTTCATATCAACATCCAGAATCAAACATATGTATAGAAGTAAATGCACATGCATATTGCACTTATTAGAAAGTGAGGTAATATATTCCCCACTATACAACCTCTCTGACTATCTCAGATCTTCAAAACGCAAGAGGCATTTCCTCACTTTTAATTTAGAAGCAATTTTAGAAGGAAAAGGCAGGGTGGGAGGAAGAGAAAGAAGCAAAACAGAGAACACTCAGGAAAACTACCCGTGTAAGATAAAAATATTTTTAATAAAACATTTACAAAGATGAGTTACTTTCCACTTTCAGAAGTGCCTTGACTGAACTGTGCATTCACAACTTCCAGACCACGTACAGAGCAGGAAGCATGAACAGGGCTAACTCAATGCATCACCCACATCCCCACTCCTCCCAGCACAGGCACTCCACTTCATTTGGAAGGAAGGGTAGAATGAGACTCCTTACCTCTCTATGAGCCCCTTACCTCACTGCACGGTGTGGTCGCAGTTCCACGTACTCAGCCTTCCCAGGCGGGCTAGCAGCTAGGTGCTCTAAAACACCTGCAAAACAACGCACGTTCCTACAGACTCCCTAACCTGGATAAAAGGCCGCACGCTTATCCAACAGAACAAGATCTACTGGGGCTTGTTTTTGTTTTTTGGCCGCCCCGCCGCGGGCCGAGGGGCTGCCGAGCCCCCGCCGCGCGCCCAACGGCCGCCCCGCGCCCAACGGTCTCTCGACTGTTTCCCAACGGCCGCTCACCGCGCGCATGGCGGCGCGCACTGCACTGCGCATGCGCACCCAGGCGGCGTAGGAGGCGCGTTCCCACCCCCAGGGCGGGGCCAGAGGAGAGCGGGGCCCTCGGTTTTAAACTGGCGCATCCGGGAGTGGGGCCTCCCTGGGGACACGTGTGGTAAATCCCGAGAAAATGTATGAAGGATAAGGGAAAAGATTCCTTAGGAAGCTTCTTTTTCTCTGACAGTCTCCGAAGCGCCGCCACATTTTTTTTTCCTCTCTCTTTAATGGTCTAATGTCTGGTAACGCTTTCCCCATAAAATACATGTTTATGTGCTGATTTTTCTGAAAAGTGAAATAATCTGTTTTGCTTTGACAGACAAGAGGGATGGTCTGAAGGAGGAAATCTGCATTTTTATCTTCTGTAAAAAGTACACTAGGTTTTTAGATCCATGAGGAAGTTTTATAGGCACATAGAAAAGCCCTTTTAAAATCTTTTTGACACAAGTTCCCCCCTCCAAAAAAAAAAGAGTCAAACTGGTTGCACAGAGCATTGAAAGCAACAGTCCATCATTTAAAATTAGCAATTAGTAGAACTTGCTGTTTATTTGAAAGCTAGAAACACACTTTGCAAGCTCCGTTGACTCCTGACTAATAATTGTAAATAAATGCACTGTACTTCCATGCTTAAGGGTTAAGGTACCTAAGTAAATATATTCTAGAATATGGCTGGCATATACAGGAAAAAAAAAAAGGTAGTTAAATGCCAAATATGCAGTTAGTTTAACAAGTAAAAGAGGAACAAAAATGGAACTCTACTCAGCAAACAAACATGAATAAGCTAAGTGTGTTTTCCTGTCTGTGTACATTTAATAAAATGAAAATCTATTGTGATTTCATGACAGAAATCCATCTATGAAATTTAACAGAATAAAAAAGTGCTTCCTAAACTGCCAGTGTTATAATTTTGATAAATTACTCATCCCTAAAAATAGTTATGTAGTTGTCAAACTTAAGATTTGCAGAGGTTGGGGATTTCTTGGGAGTCTCTTGTATAAGACATTCTCGGAAAATAAGGTATTTTTATGCATTGCGGTTTTTCTACAGCTTCTCATTCAGCACGGCTGTTTTCTCTTGGCGTGAAGTAATTGGTCTCGCTAGATGAGCTCGGAATCGGAGCCAGATGAGGTTTTACAGCACCGAGCGTTTATCGCGCTGTTCTTATCGCTACTCGGGTTACTCGTGTTGGCGCGCCCTTAGTCAGGGCTTGACGTGACAGCCGTGTAGCAGCGCGTGTGAAAGCAGCGCAGCCCCGGTGGGGCGGGGCGGCTACTCCAGAGAGTACGGTAGG